ATTGCTGGAACATCCCGTATCGTAACGAAATGTTCGAAGAATACTGAATGTTTTCAAATAGATTATTATAAATAATGTAACATTGTCTAATATTTATAAGAAGTACATAAACTGAATTGAAAAGTTGAAATTATTTGTTCAAAGTATATTAGGACAGAATTAAAATAAAAATCTGAATTATTTTCGATATACAAAAAAATAAAAAAAAATTAAAAAAATTTCCATGGGAATCGAATGTTTTTTGAACCATTCAAATCGGTTAATCCGTTCGCCCGAAAACGTGGACGAAAAATTGTATCCATGCATACATACACACACACACATCCATTTTTTCTTAAGTATGTCAAAATGTTCAGAAACCTTCAAAACGTCGAGAAATGTAAAAATTTTCGATTTCGATTTTTGGACGATTACAAATACTTACCCTACGGGAAGTTAATAAAATAATCACAATTTCCGTTTTATAAACATATTTGGGTAGGACATTATTTACAAAGATCACACCCTTCTTAAGGAACTTTGTCAAAAGAATTTATCATCAGAGGCGGAATAAGTTTTAATTTAACTTATCTCTTGTAATGTAATATCTAACTTATGTTAGTTTTTCATTTGATAGTTTCTTATTGTTCATACCTTGCCAGTGTAATATTCCAGGTGGTTCTTTTTAGCCCAACCACATGAAAGCTATTCTAGAGGTTATATAAAGAAACTGTTGCATGTAACTTAATAATAATTCACTTTATTAAACAATTAAATAACGTATGCTTAAAAATTATATCAAATAAAGTAAAAAAACTATCAAGGATAAACAATATTTTTGTTAAAGAATTGACAATGTAGCTGTTGTCATGTTGGTGCATAAATATAAGTGTATGTTTGTATGTATTTGTCAGTTTATAGGTTTGTGTGAATGAGGAGAAAAGAAAATAAAACAGTGTTATATAGAAGTTTAAGTTGATATCTGATGGTGTATCATGTTCCGTTCAAAGTAATGTTGGAAAGTAAAAAGAATTCGAGAAATGTTCGCTATTTTCTTGGACGTACATACCCCGTAATAAACGCCAGCGTTGATTTTTTGTCTAACGTCTCGTTGCCGCCCATTCTTCGTCGAATTCTTATATTTTCCGAAGAACCATTCCATGGCCTATAGTATGTACACATAAAGGAATATCGTAGTCACTGTCATGGCCGTACGATGTTAACTACTTTTACACACACCAAGAAAATGAACTCCAAAAGACTACATAGGAAATTTCTGCTCTTGTGCCAACTTTTCGCTTTTTCCCTTTCACTCGTCCCAAGAGCTGATGCTCTAAAGTGTGATGTATCATCCAGTGCTGTTTCCCATTTCTTTCTCAGTAGAACATAGGAAAAATGAATGATATTATTTGTTTGAATACATATTTCTTGTATAGGGACTTCGACACATGCACACCTATTAGACTACTTTTCGTAACCATATAGTATATGGAGTAAACTTTTATTTATTGTAGGAGAGACTGGGCACGGTTTTGCCACTTTTTTTTGGTCAGCCATAATTATGGCTAACATATTCAAACAAAAATACTACATTTTTCTTTCTTTGGACTCTACGACTGTCATTATCGAACCCTGGCATAAACGTGCCCAGTCTTCTCTACCCATTCTTGCAAATATCGCGTAAATGTTATGTAATTTCAATAATATCAAGTACACTAAATGCATGATCATCCAGCTGTTTCTAAGGTTCTCTGATTCTCATATAGAAAAAGATAAGTATTTCAACTTCAATAATATCCAATCTTTCATCCCACTTTTGATTTATTTTTGCTGCGTTAGTCAATAAATATTTTCTACACTTCCACAAAATGCAAAATAAAAGATTTGACTAATATATTTTGATTAAAGCATTCATTTCTGTGCGCTTTGATATATTTACTTTAAAAATAAATAACAAAACCAGTACAATTGTTTATATTGTATGATGTACATAAATATTAAATGACGCCTTTGTTATTTCATAGTGTTTGCTTTGAAATGTAGTCCGGTTTATAACGCACAGCATTTAATGTAATATTGAATGACATTGAGTAATTATTTTTGCCTGCTGTAGATGAATGTAGCGCTTTGTTGACATTAATTTTATTAAATAATACTGTCAAAATACCATTAGTCGAACATTCTTCTAGCAAAATCTCCATTCCAAATTAAGATAATCATAGTAATTATTTAAGCCATTTTTAACAAAGTCACGTTTTTTAAGTTAGTAATTTATTTGTAGTACTTACAGTTCAAAAATTTTCAGATTCTGTTTAAACTTTTCTAAAGCACATGGAAATAAGTTTCAATGCCATTAGTCTTAATCTCTACTTCTCCAATCACACTGGTTGTCATTCTCTAGTTAACCAGAACAAAATAGAAGTTTGTTTTGTACTAACAAGCCGCCTTATTCTCAAAAGCTCTTTCGAAACCCACTGAAAAGAGCCCATGGCACGGGTCAAGTTCAGTCAGTATGAAGGCTTGAGCTTTCAGACATGACGAGCTTTAAGTGAAATCCCTTCATTTCAGGTCAGCGGTTCGGGTATTGCTATTATTGCAAATTGTGCCGAGCATCGTTGGGAACGGCATTTTTTGTGGGTCTTTAATACTGCGTTATGTTCGGTTTCTGTGCCGATAGCATATATCATTTTCAGAATGACATGGCTAAAAACCCACTTTGAAATTACATGTCGGCACAAGGCTTAAAGAAAAAGGCTGGATCGAAACGTTAGGCATGTCTGCACCTAGCTGGTTGATTGAGTAAATCTTGGCATGCCGTTGTATGTTAAAAATTATAGAACAAATTTTATAGAATAAAAGTCATAAATTTTCAACGACCTATCTCTATATAAATATCATGTGTTTTTTGTTGATACATTGTATAAATCACAGTACTAAGTGACGGATCATCAAAAATTTCTCGTAAAAACGATATTTTATTTTATATTTTATAACATGTCAAATACTGTAAATCGTAAAATACCTCGAAGTATTTTATAGTTCTGTAACATCATAATATAACGCTCTACAAATTTCATGGAACATACTGCGATCGTCAAAAAGAACACAGTGCAACAGTAAAACAATGAACATTGTGTTCAAGTATAAAATATGAGTTAGTTCTCAAGTAGAGAACGTGAGATCTTACAAAACAGTATGTGATATAAAACTGTCTAACAAATCGAATAACGATTCAATCTTGAACTGGTCAAGTTAGTTTGAGTACTCTTGTTACTAGACATCGTACAGCAAAAGCAGCTCGGTTTCTTTATAATATCCATGTGCATTGTTCGAATTATTATATTTTTAAATTTGATAGATGACATACGTGTTTTCTACCATGCTAATGTAGCAACCAATATGTAATAATTACCTATTACTACTGACCAAAATCACACAACCACGAACTTTTTAGTTTCCTAAATTTTCTTTCATCAAGTTTATTTACTAAATTCGTAACACTATCGCAGTATGAAGCTTTACCGCCACTACACAGTTCTACTTGTTTTTTCTGCCGTTTTTTCTTGTACTTGTACACGATTTGCATTTATTGCTACATTTTGCCGCTGGCCTGAGTGCGGCATCGATGTTTTGAGCTGATACCGCAAAACGTTGCAAAAGCGAAATGCTTGAATCTATTCGATGCATGAAAGCGCATCGTCAGGTATTAATTCCATGCAAAGTGCATTTTCTATCCTTTGTCTGATCCTTGTAAACAGATTGTGCAAGAGTTATTTTCGCTACTTTAATCGGATACATTATGGCGAAGAACGAAGATTTTTTATATTTATTGGAGTCGCTACTGGCGACTACTTTACTAGTGTAACCGCCTAAAAAAAGGTGATTTTGGGGAATTTATATTTAAAAAACTACTCTATCAATCATTTCAAAATTTTCGGAATATATTCATACATGTTTTGAGAATACATAGTAAAATTCTTGAAGAAAACAATTAAATATTTTTTAAGTTATCGTCGATCTCCAACGGCGCGACAAAAAAATGACCCTTCACTGCTGCAGTGATGTTGGCCTTCTACAAGGATGAAATTTAAAAAAGAAAAATTCTAGTTAAAGTAGATAATATTGTCTGTAAAATAAACTACGATGAAGAAAAAAAATCAAAAATTGACAAAATGACGGCGTTTTAAAGAATAAAGTCGAATTTTACCCAAAATTTTGGTCGCTTTTGGACTGCCAAAATTCGATTTTTGATCCGATCAAAAAACCGATAGTTCATTTTACGGAGAACTATAAATAGAACATGTAAAAAAAATTGATAGTGATCAGATCATTTGTTTTTGAATTGCTATGCTGCAGCAAATTCGGAAGATACTGTTTTGAGAAAAACGCGTTTAAAGATAAAATGATCGTTATACTATATGCTATATATACTCTTTAAATGGCTGTAACTCATAAACTATTGAAGATATCGATTAGTATGTTATTTTCAAAGGTATAACCTAACAAAATATGAAAAAATTGAAAATTCGATTTTTTGAAAATTTCACCCTAGTTGTGCCCCTTGAATTTTGTCTGCTATAATTTTACGCTTATTTTCGGTTTTGAATAACTTGTAAATCAATTTTAATAATATTTTCATTTTATTAAAACTTTGCATCGCCAACAAAAACCGACATTAATAACTAAATTATCTTTTTTTGTCCCCTGTGTAACTTTCAGGTTACATTCCACATTTTTCGATATCTACCAATATTTTTTTGATATCTTAAATCTTTTTTGTTGTCAAGATAATCAATATCAATATTTATGACCATTGCTAGGCTTTTTAACCTGAAATAACATTTTCATACAGGCCACTTCATTCACTAATACCAAAAAAATGGTTCAAACCGTATTTTTTGTTTATATAATTACAGATTTTTAGTTTCTCTATTTTTTATGTAAAATCATCGGCCTATAAAGGATTAATAGTATATTTATTATTCAAGTAAATATTTAAATGAATGATATTTTTTTTGCAGCCCCGGTGATGAGGTGCAACGCTCGCTGGAGGTGCTCGACCGCGTTCTTTCGGAGTACGAGGAACCGCAGACGCGGGCCACTACGGAGCAGGTGCTCACGCAAGAGGGCGGACAGCCGCGAAGTCCCTCTCAACATTCCGAAGATGACGGATACATGAGCATGAATGGCACGAGGTAAGCAATAATAAGAAAAAAAATTCATCGAGACTTCTTATTAGTTGGAGAATAAAGTAATTGATAATTTGAACTAATAAAAAAATCGTACAGGATATGGGACATATGTTTTTCAATGTGCTTTTTAACCCTGAATACGAATATAATGTCAAAATTTGGGGTCAAAATGCAAAAAAATGGACAAAAATATTGAATGACCAAATCTCTGATCTAGTGATTTTTCGTAAATGTTATAATTTCTGCCGTTTCCTGGCCCTCCTCTCTTCAAATGGCCTGGAAAACATATTCTTGCTATGCTTTTTAACTTAAGTACATTTTTGTAAAATCAAAATTCGGGGTTATTTTTTTTTAATTTCTTACCATTTGACCCCCACTTTTGACTTTAGATTAGTGTTCAGCGATAAAAATTACAATTAAACATATATCGCACACCCAATGCAGACAACATTTTGTGGACCTGTGTAATCAACATTCAAAAAATATAACAGAAACCAGTAACTTTAGCCTATGTATGTTCAATAAATTCCTAACAAACTGCTAACAAGAGCTTGTATTTCTGAACTATTATTTAAGGGGGTATTCTAGTGTAGAGCGATGAATTTTAGGTCATTTTTAAAGTGTCGTAAAAGAAAGCAATGAATGTTTTTACTATCCATTTTTTACCACTTGTTTATTAATATTATTAAAATACAAAACAAAAGTTAAAAAAGAAAAAAGTTGAAAATTGTAAAAACTGGCAGCTGATGAAGTGGGTGGTCTCAAAAAATTGGCACCTCAGTCTTGACATGATTTCAGCCCTCCTAGCCATCGGAAATGCAAAAAATAAAAAGATTATTAATCTACAATGATATCGCAATCGGCTGAACTAGCGATGAGTAAAATTTTTTTTTCACAAATTGGCGACTGTTTGAAAAAAAAGGGTTTTTTACTGTTTTTTTGAGTTTCTCGAATTTTTTAAAAATAGTAAAAATAGGAATTTCGGTATGATTCTAGTTTAGACTGTAGATAGATCTATAAGCAAGACTCTCTGAAAATTTCAAATAAATTGGTCGAGTAGAACTCCAGAAATCGTGACAAGAGTACTGAAAAGGTAAATTCTGAGAAAAACGCATTTAAAGTTTTGCGTGAAGCCAAACCAGTATGGAGACCGAGTCAGTAAAATGCCTATATCTCCGAAAATAATTCAAATTTTCAAACACCTTCTCGTACCCATATTCTTAGATAGCTAAACCTTGAAAATATGAAATAAAAAAAATCGATTTTTTTGAGTTTCTACACTAGAATACCCCCTTAAGTGGCCAATCTTGATTATCATTTTTTAGAACAGTACAATTTGTTATATGATATATGTTGAAAAATATACTAAAGATCATAAGCCTTTCCCTCAGGTTATTCGACTCACCAAATTTCATTAAACTCTAACAACATCTTACGGCTTGAACTTTCCTCATGACCCATGACCCTTATGTTTCAATTCAAAACAATTTGTTTCTGCTAATTCAAATCCTTGTACACAAATATCCATTACATCAACACATGTTTCGGAATTTCGCTTATCTGTGTTGTTTCCTACATTTATGAGTATATACGCTTCTGTACGCAGCCACCGCACGAAGTTTTGCCCAAACTTTCGCACGACCTTGGAACTAACCGCTACCGAAACATCAGCGCCTCCGACGGAACCGGATCTGGTCAGCGAAGGACAAGACACGGAATCTTGTCCGGAACAAATCCCCGGAAAAGATAATCCGCCCACGCCACAGGAAGCCGAGAGAATTATTGCAACGTTATTACCATGGTAAGAAAACTTGTGTATAATAAAAATATAGATTTACAATTGTCTCGTGTATGGGATAGTTTAAGTATTACGTAAGCAGATTTGTTACAATCATTTACCCCCCATCCCGTCCCCTTTGTCAGCAAAAGTAAGGAAAAGTTCTTACACAAAATAAGCAAAATAAGCAATTCAATAACCCCTTCGCCCCCCTATAGTGCTTACGTAATACTTGAACGGCCCCTATCCAAAAACGATAAACAATTGTAAATTTGTTTTCTAGTACAAGTAGAAAACTGTTGATTACTTCAAAAAAATAGTTAATTTTTAAGGATGTGTCACAAATTGTCGTATAATAAATAAATAAATAAATTTATTTTGTAAATCCGGGCTTAAAAGTCCGCGAATAAAATGGCCCACCACCGTTATCTCAAAAACAAGTAAATTACAGAATATTTTAACTATGCATTTTTAAAGTTTCTACTTTAACCAGCCATTACTTTAATTTATACGAAGTCGCTATCAGGGAATAAACGGCCATGAATCAGTATTTTGCTTACTTTGCTGATGAATAATTCTGACTAAATACCAGTTCGGGGTTATATATTTTTATAGTGTGATCTTTGTAAAAAATGTGCCAATAAAATTTGTATTTCTTATTGGCTAAATAATATAGTTATTATTTCGGAAAATTCCTTTCAACCTGAAAAATGAAACATCATATCTGTTTGCCTCTTTACTATTTGGTTACCCCATAACACACATAGGCGAGGTAAATAGGGACAGATAACAAATTTTAGAAAAAAGAACATATTTTTAACTTCCCGAAGGGTAAGTTATTGTAATGGTCCAAAAATCGAAATTGAAAATTTTTGCATTTCTCGACGTTTTGAAGGTTTCTGAACATTTTGGCATACCTCAGAAAAAATGTGTGTGTTTGTATGTATGTATGGATACAAATTTCCAGTCACGTTTTTAGGCGCACGGATCAACCGATTTGAATGGTTCAAAAACATTCGATTCCTTGGTAAAGGTAGGTCCAGCAGTTACGGAGATAAAGAGCAGAGAGTACAGAAAATAGAAATCGAGTTTTTGAGAGAACGGAGCATCCGATTTAAATGATCTAAAAAACATTCAATTAGTTAAGATTGGGAGAAGTGTTTATTAGTTTTTGGCAAAGGCAGGCCTAGCCATTTCGAAGATACGAAGCTAAATGTGTAAAAAATGGCAGTTTTTGAGAGAATTAAGCGTCCGATTTGAATGATTCAAAGAACTTTCTGCTTGTCTTAACAAAATAATTGATTTTGGAAAAAAAAATTTTTTGTTTCAACTTTTTTTTTCAAAAAAGATTTTTTTTGTACATCGAAAATAATTCAGATTTTATTTTTAATTCTGACGATAGTTCTAATATACTTTAAACAAATAATTTCATTTTTACGATTCAGTTTATATAATTCTTATAAATATTAGACAATGTTACAATATTTATTTATAATAATCTATTTGAAAACATTTAAAATTCCTCGAGCATTTCGTTACGGTACGGAAAGTTCCAGCAATTTGCCTTAAGGCACGATGCCATACACCCGACTAGTTATAATAAGGAATTAACTGATTGTAAGAATTTTGTTGAACATAGTTTTATAGTTGTTTATTTGATATGTGTAATGCTCTAAGATGTAGATCATTTGTAAAAGGCAGTATAATTACTGAAAGTCAAATTGGACCTGAAAAATATTTTTGAAAATTGGAAAAGTATTTGAAAATTTAGAAAAAAACTATTTTAAATTGTCTAAATACTGAAGTTTGTTTATAAATTAAAATAGATTTGTATAAAAAAATAATCTAATATAAATTTTAGTTTTTTGGAAATATCAAAAATGTTGAATTTAGGTTTCAAACAGTATTAAATAATTTTTAAATAAATAATAAAAGTAAGAAATTATGAATAACTGATCAAATTTCAAAACGTTAAATTCGTATTCTAAATTTTGTGAAAATAAACTAAATTTGATGAAAAATCATTACAAAAAGTTCAACAGGTTTGGTGCATACGAAACCTTAATTCATGAATTAAAATTCTGCGTATTCATAATATAACTGCAAAATCTAATATTTCCAATATTATAAATATTCCAATTTGACAAATATATTTACTAAATCAGTATTATCAAAATGAATACATTTAATAACTCAATATATAATCAAGAACACCCCCACATAACATATGATCAGTTTACTCATCTAATGAGTTGTTAAATTTATACAATCCATGGGGGCAGACGCACTTCAAAGACTTGCTCCAGAAGCTTTGCGCACTTTCCGATTTGGGATCTATATAAAAGGGGTTGTGTCATGAAGTGTTTTGTTTGAAACGTATCTTGGTAATTGCAAGTGTGTTTTGGTTGATAAGTGATTAGTGCTTCGACGGGCGAGGAGATGATGTATCATTCTATTATATATAAGGGAAGTTATAGATACTCATGATGGATTCGGAAGTCAATTCTCATAGGAAGCCAAGATATACCTTCTCAATATTACGAGTTTGCTTTGATATTATTTTTATAATAATCCATAAAATTTAGAAGTCAAAATACATTCTGGTTAAGTATCTAAACCGACTTCGACTCCAAATAACGCCTCACATAATCATTATCCGATATCTACCCTTCTCACGCAAAAAGTCATACCGCAAATGTTAGACTTCGCTGGAAATATCACGCAATTCCCGGCAGAATAGTCACGAGTGCTTTCCAGGTATTCTTATGTCCCGTTCTAATTTTTCAATATATTCTCTATATACTTAAGGGATATATCTACATTCTGGTTACAACACATTTCACAAGTGGAATTTGGTGTAACGCTTTAACAGGAAATACTATATCAATAGAATTGAACGTGTTAGATCATAGTATGAATACGGATTTTTGAGGAAATTGTTAGTGACAGGCAGAAAGATGTGATAGTAATAAGTAGTAGTGTTGGTAACATACCTATAAAAATAAAATTTATATTTTAATATTTATTCTGTTAACACCAAACCGAATGTATCACAACAAATAAAACAAATCAAAGCAAGAACTATCTAACTATTTTCAGTAAAATTACCAGCCAATTTTAATTTGCTAATTGCGAACTAATTTATCACTGTAAAAAAATATTTTGTTGCTTTCTATCAAAGATTTATCATACGTTTTACTACCCTATCGGCGGGATAAAAAGGGATAGCCAGAGAACAAAAAGATCAACCATAATTTTCAACAGGTTTTATAAAATAATAGCTACACTATTGAATTAATTCGATGCAGCTTAATTAGTACGTAAACAAAAAAAATATAAATTATATTATAAACATATATTGTTAAACATAATAATCCAAAATATTTTTCAAAGCGCGTAAGCGCCGCGCCACATAAGTATTAAAAAATTTTATACTTATTGTTAAATTCTCCATAAAATATCTGATAATTTGATGTACATATGTCTAATGATCATTTTTGACCGTCAAATGGCATTTATTTTTACTTTTTTCATTAGATCTCATAAGCCGCTAGACCTGTATTCATGAAAATTTGATTAATTCTTTACCTTATTAATACAAGTAAAATATTTTTTGAATTATTAAAATCAGACGCTCCGTTCTCTTAAAAACTGAGTTACCATTTTTGGCACTTTTTGCCCCGTATCTTCGGAACGGCCAGGCCTGCCTTCGCCAAAAACTAATCAGCACGTCTCTTTATTAATACAAATCGAATGTTTTTTTAATTATGCAAATCGGTTGATCGGTGTTCCCGAAATCGTCGACGAAAATTTGTATCCGCACACGCACACACACATACACACACATATACATCCATTTTTTTTAAGGTATGCCAAAATATTCAGAAACCTTTAAAACGTAAAGATATATAAAAATTTTCATTTTCGATTTTTTTGCGATTACTATAACTTGCCCTACGGGAGTTAAAAATACTTTTGTTATAGATTTTCAAACACGGCTGTTTTTCTGATAGCGATGTTGCTTAATTTAAAATAATGACAGGTTACACATATTTTACTCTCTTCTTTCAAATGCTGTTGTTAAAAATTTCTAACTTTATTTGTTTTTTAGATATTGGTAGACCTTTGTACCCGCGGACCTTCAAGTTCCGCTCAACCTCAATCCATATATCCGAGAACTCAACACCATATATTAATATCGAAAGACGAGCACGTAACTTATTACGGCTATGATGTGATTATATACCGCAATATTCAAGCGGCCGTAATGATCGCTCGTCAAATTGTCTCGATTTTCAAAGCAATTGCTCGCGATGCGGGAACGTTTCCTTGAGCGGCATCTCTAATCTAACGATTTCCGCACACATAGTATAAGACCCATAACGGAAACACTATTCAAACCGACGATAGTACCTTAGTACCCCCTGCCTTACACAATATGCATTTATAACCCGCACGCAACATTGGCGTGGACCACAGAATGAAACTTAGTACGAGCTCCCTAGTCAAGCGAAAGCTCTCCTTGAAAGCTGCGCTTTAACAGGCAGGTAGATTTATAGGCAACAGTGTTGAGGTTTAAAATCAGCCACTCAAAATTCACGGGCTCGTAAATGCTCACTGGTCATGAATAATAAGATACTTTTATGTGTTAAACTTTTTTATGAAAAAACGCGTCATATTTGAGGTGATTTCTGTTGTTATTACTCCAACACACAGGTATATCATATACACTCTTGAAAATAAATAATATATGTAAAAGTTGCATAGATAATAATTAATCATTAGTTATTATGTTAGTTAACATTAATTTCATTAGCATCAGTTATTATATTATTTATTAACAATCATGAAAAAAATAGAAAAAATATTCCATGTAGTTTAAAAATTATGAGCTTTTAAGTTCAACCTAAAGCTTTGGTATAACTGCGATCATTTTTTTAACTTATACACACTTATAACACATATATATATATATATATATATATATATAAGAAAAAGCCCATTTCGGGCACTGCGGTGTGAAA